GGAGCGTTGGCCCCCAGCACCGCGGGCCCTCAGCCCCGGCCTGGCCCTTGGTGGCCTGCCGGGTAAAATCCAAGCCCGCGGGCAAAAAAAGGATCCGAGGGACACCCTGGCCGCTCCCCAGCACAGAAGGTGCTTCTGCAGCCGGCTTGCCAAACAGGTGGCTTGTAGCATGAGGTTTTCTGTTTGTCGGGATCATCTCTGTTGCGCCCTGCTAAATGTCTTGCTAACTTAACTGCCTTGGTTAAGTGTGTGAAGAATCGTGTTCCTTTCTGTCACTGCTGCAGCACTGCTGTTCTTCAGGTGAGATGTTACACCTGCAAAACCCATCCTTTCACCCACGCCGCTTGCTTCCTCTGGGGAGCAAGAGCAGAGCTTCCCCAGGCATCGTTTTGTTGGTAGAAACCAAGTCTTTCCAGTGCGGATTTATTATATGGTGATTACACCTGTGTAGGAAAATGAGCAAGGCCTTGTTTGTATAGAGCAAGTTATGGAAGCAGATATTTTTCCTTCTTTAAAGATATGTTGTGGCTGGGGGGACTAGTTGATGACAGCCAGCAGAGATACCAAAACTTTCCGTCACGTATGAATCAACAGTCAGACTTGGGAAGACTGGCTCTGGGGTTGCTACTTTGGCTATCTAAGGCCATGGTGAGAGAAAGGTTGGAAGAGAGCAGAAAAGGGTTGGGTTTTTTTTTTTCTTTCTTTCTTTGTTTCTGTGTTTTTTATTGTTTTGAGTGGGGTTTTTTTAAACAATCTTTATCTTGATTTGAGTCAGTAATGAAGGGTATATTTGCCTCTTGGATATCAAGGCACTGGGCTCCTGAAAGATGAGCTAGTTTGATGGGATTTGACTACCTCTGTTCCTGGGCTAACAGGTTAATGGATGTTAAATTAGAATATACTTAGACTTCATATTTCATATCTTTTCTTTTATGAAGATCATTACTTGTAATTAACTGGATAATTCTTACTGATTATAAAAGGGCTGTAGTATGCAATAGCTTCAAGATTTTGAAACTTAATACAAGGGAGTTACTTCATCCCAAAACCGTGTACATTTATAAAGAAACAATGGTTTGTGGAAGGAATGTGATACATCCCTGAAAATGGTTGAGGTATCCGTTGAAAGTACATGAAGTCTTATGGTCCCAGGAGGGCTGTGGGCAGAGTCTGGAGTAAAGAAAAAGAGGAGGAGAATCAGCTGTATGTTGCAGTCATTAAAAATAAATGCCCAAATCCTTTTCCAGGAAATAATTCTCAAAGAGCAGGCTTTCAGAAAGAACCCGGTGCCCACAGAAGGCCACTCTGGCTTTTTGCCTGTTTTTGTGGGTCAAATCTCCTGACAATGCTGTGGAGAGATGAAGAACAGACAACGGTGCTAGCAGGCAAAACTGC